TATTCCCTTTGCCACACTGAAAATCTGCATAACTACCAGGGAATGAAGCAGACTGACCTCTTTCAAGTCAAGGGTTACAGTCTAGAGATGGGGATATTTGTATTTTGAAACAAGTACAGTATGAATATCCTTGTCCCAGCTGCAACTAGCATGGGTCTGAGCCTCGGAACCAGCCCATCCACTCACACGTCACTGCACCACCAGGATCCCACTCTTCCCACCAATAGTGGAAATAGCTCCGCCATCTCCGTGCTGAGCTGGCCACATAGCAGCAGTCTAGGAAGACTCATCATCCCACCCCCTGCCTAGAGTGACCAGTCGAAGAGGGAGATGGTGGGGCTACTTCTGCAATTTGGAGAAGAGCAGGACACTGGCAGTGCAGCGACACGAGTGGATGGGCCAATTCCAAGGGCAAAACCTGCATTAGTTGCAGCTGGGTTTACAAATACAAATATCCCTATCTCTATTGCAGTTACAGAATTAGAGTCCTTTTCAAACTGTTTTGATATGCCCTCTGATAAATGATAAGTACGGAAGCAGTAGTTCCTCTCTTAGCCTCCCCTTTTTAAATGTTCAGTAACAGGAGATAAGTTGAAGGTGTGGATTGTCTTTTTACACACTGACCTCTGCCTGTCTGGTTACAACAGAAGCATTGAAGTGTGCAGCATATGAATTCCATATTGTGTATTCCCCTGTTCCTTAGTTTCTTCACAGACCCAATCATTGATGTAAGAGAATTGGTGCAAGAGAACTGGTGATAGTACAAGTAACAAGTTGCACCACACTGGGGTAAATCCATTCTCAGTAGGACACAGAGGAAATCTAGACAAGACATTAGATTTTCATTATAATTACTAAGAATTTAATTTCTTCCAGTTGTCATGTAAGTGAGAGGTTCCATCTGCATCCAATCCTAATTGCCACTGATAATCCACCGGTGTTGTCTTGACATGCTTGCAGTAACTTTGGTGTTTTCCCCATGTTTCTGTTACATTACTGTCCTTGAGCCCATCAATGTTCCATATTGTAACAGAAAACAACTCCAAATTCTGGATCCAAACAAGGTTCTGGTTTAGAGGAAAACTTCCTTCTGTTGATACTCAATACAAGTAGTGTCCTAGATTAAGTGACTTCAGTCTACAGAATGGTAGTAGTCTGTAGAGAACCAAACTGAACTGAAGACAGTCTTAATGCCTTTGAGGAGGATGATGATCTTAGAACTGAAGAGCTGGAAGGTATCCAACGGATCCCTGAGTCCAGTCCCTGTCAAGGACGCACAGTGGAGAATCAACCTCCCAGACTCTGGTTCTGCAGTTAGAGACCTAAACCACTGAGCTATCATATACAGATATTCTGTCCTCTCTCTAGTTTAACATGTTTTTGATTTAATACTGCAAAACTCTATCTGCAGGCATCAAAATTGGGGGGGAGTCTTGAAGACATTCCACACAGTTATTTCCCTTTACAAATTGCCAACAACTCTCTGGAAAAAAATACTGTTCCCCCTAGCCATAAGGGGTGTGTGCATAACATTAGGGAAAGGTGAACACTTTACTTGTTACTGCATTCTGCTGTGTACTGGAAATGAAATTCACTTTTCCCAATGATGAAAAAAAACCCACCATAGAAAAAACAAGGAACTAGAATGTGTGGCAGAGGTGCTGTGATTTCTACCAACTTGAAAATCCCACGGTTTTTATTTATTTACTTTAAAAAAACAGTCTGAAAATAGCCAGAGAAAATATATAAATTCCACAAAGACTTTATGAAAAGCAGCACACAAAGCATATTGTATGTGATTCTTTTGGCAAACAGCGTCTGTGCGCATGCACGCGTGCATGTACGCATGCACGCACACGCACGTGCACGCGCACACACACACAGGATTTAGCATGATTGCACACACATACAATGTTCCAGTCTACTAACTAGTTAGAGGTAACATGTATTTTAATTTGCCTTTCAGTATCAATATAATTTTTGTTTAATCTGTTGGTTATTCCAGTCTAAAGCTCATTATGAACTTTCAACCAACCCAATCCTAGTGCATTAATATAAAAGCACATTCGGCTACTGCTGAGCTGGCTGGACAGGTCTGCACTTTTTAATCCCTTCATAACTTACTGCTCTTGACAATGCTTACCTTGTGTTTTAGAAGGACCATCTGTTTTCATTACTTCAGTCCACACAGATGCTTGTCTACAAACGATGCCCTTCAATTCTCTGCATGTCGGAACCAATTCATGAGCCCAAAGGGACTTTTATTGCAACCATCAACATTTAAGTCTAGGTTTTCCCCATAGGTGAACAAGAATTCTAGTATCAGCTAAATCATGCTAGGTTTGGTCAAACTGTTCCATCATGCGCTCTCTGAGATTATTTTTATTTACTTTTCTAGGGAAAAGTGAACAATCTGAATGTCTGAACATGTCCTGTTATGGATTGTTCTTACACCATTTCTGTTGTAAACACATTTGTCAACACTATAGATAAGCTGAAAGAATACAAAAAAAGTGGTTGGATCAGACTTGGGAAGTACTGGGGTTTGAAAAGCTTATTTGTAAAAAAGAGAGAATCAATTGTAGGGTGACCGCTTTTGGACACAAATTCCCTTTTTTATTTTGTCCATTAGTAATAGGTCAATCAGCTATGAACCACCACTTCAAAAAAGTGAAAATTTGGCGGTATTTACTGCAAATCCTTGAGTTAATTCTTTTAACATTGTTTTCCCAAAGACTGTGACACTGAACATATGTATCTTATAGAAAAGAAATAAGGAGAAATTTTGGTACATAACACAATGTTGTTTTTGCTCAGTGCCTGCCCTCTTTATAGTTTTTATTCTTTGCACTTCGATGTAACATGAAGAACTTCTAATGAAGGTGGCTGTTTGCCCCTAGATATTCTTCTGTACGAGAAACACGGCGGCAATTGCCTTTCTACTACAGTAGAAAATGTATGGATGTTCAGATTCTGTCAGACTTTGCCTCTCACAAATCCCATTTTATATGCCCAAATATTAGGATTATAGAAGTTGTCCTTATGCAGTGTATATCACTGGTCCATTCTGCCCACTATAGTCAATGATCAGTAGGATTTCTCCAGGATTTCGGGCAGGATCCTGGGAGACCTTTGGTGTTTCCTTCCAACCTTGCTTCACTTCCAATTCCAGTTTTCTCAGTGTAGTATGAGGACACCACCAGTATCAGGAAGACCTGTTTCTGGAGTATAGACCTTCTAATGCCCAAGGTTATGGAAGTCTGGGAAGTGTTGTTACAAATGCACCCAGACTTTTCCTATTTTGTTACTCTCTCCAAACCTCTGGGATGAGGTGGGGTATAAACAGATAGTGGTATGTTTTATTGTTAATCCCAATTAAAGTAGACCAATTGAATCAATTAGACTTATGTCAGTATTGATTTAGCAAATCCTATTTATTCAATGAGTCTGCTCTGGTTGGGATTAAAAAATTGGATTAAGCCTTTAGATTTTACATAATACTCATAGAAGGGCTATCTGAAGTAATTCTGTGCTTGCAGAGATATGGAAAATATGCAGGATTCAGTTGCCCGCTTCTTCTTCTTTTATTTTATTTTTTTGGCAGGGGTAATTGTGTAAGCATTAAAATAGAAAATATATCATTTCAGGAGAAAGAACGAGTGAGAGAAATGTCCAAAGACCAAACAAAATCTTGAGAACTGGCCAACATCAAGGCCAGTCCTATATTTGTTTACCAGGAAATAACCCCATTGAACTAAATAGGACTTACTACAGTGCAGATATAGGATTGCTGTATAAACCAAGGACTTAATATCTGCCAATACAGTATGCATCTGCTAGAAAACTGCAAGCAGCTTGTCACTTTTTGACAGCACAGAATGGTAATAGGAAGTGCATTAGTGTAATGATAATATTTAAGTTCCCAATTACCAAGAGAATAGGAAAACAGAGATGCATGACTGTTTTAAAAATTATATAACGTAAACAGAGGGTCCCAGGGGACAACTCAGCATGGAAATGAGATTTCAGTACTAGGAACAGGACTCACAGCAAAGCTTTAAATCTGCAGATCATTACACCCAATATCAAACTGATATACAAGTGTGAAACGCCCTTTGAGGGCACAAGCCGTGATTACTTTATTATACCTTATAATAAACAAAAGTAACTTTGCCCATCTCTGATAAGGACTCCTGTAACTTAAGGAAAACTGGCCTGTTGTTTTTAGGCAAAGAATTTGTGCCTGTAACAGACGCAGCTAGGACACAAGCCCATGTATGATACTCTTATGCCTTATATAGAAAAACTGAACTCTGCTGAGACGGAGGTACTTCTACAAAATACGCACTAACAGTGCAGAATGGGCTTTGGTGGTGTTGGGGAGTTATGTCCCTAAATCAAACTCCTGCATGCAAGCAAAAAATAAAAATAAAAATAAATAAATAAAAATAATTAAAAAAATAAAACACAAATCTTACAACATTAGCAAGTAGTTTGATGGAAAGGGAACACTCCCAAATATTTGCTTATCCCTCACCTCTTTTTTCCCAAACTCTGTGTTGTTATCACAAAGTTTTTGAGATACAAGTCTCCCTTGAATAGCTCTCAATGCATTCAAGATTCTGTTATCCAGTGTTTTGCCACACCTCTCTCACGTAAAATCCTTTCAGTAATCAATAGGGGCAAAAGAAACGTCCAGTTATATCCTGCATGAAAGAAGTAAAAACAAGCCAACAAACAACTTTGCAAAACTCTAGTTTGCTCTGCAGCTCTTTTCCTTGAAGACGTCCCATCTTTCGCTTTCCTGTAGAATTTTTAGTTATGCAGAGATTTCTCTCCCTGCTGTCCTTTCCAATTATTATTTCTTTGGAGTTCATCAAGCCTCAGCAACCCCTCCCCCCCAAAAAAAACCCCACTTTAAAAAAGAATGTCCCTGCCTTTTCAGAGAACACAAAAACAAGCCAGCTCTGAAAGCTAAAAATAGACTGTTCCATTCGGAATGCAAACTATTCAGTCTTCAAAACTATTTATACAGTGCGAATTAATTACAGATGGCCAATTCATATAGCAAGGTCTCTGCAACCGATACAAAAGGGCTACTACCCTCTCCTGATTGAAAGCAGGTAAAAATTGCTTTAGGTAAGGGACATAATTGGGGATAATGTAGCTTATTTTTAATTCTTTGTGTTCCGGGGAGGGGAAAATGCCGTTTGTAAAGTAACCATTTGCTTTGGCTAACTCTCAAAAGGTTTAAAAGCTGTGCATTCTTTTTCCCCCATGTGTTTCACTGCTGTAGAATTCATATAGAGAGCGATGAAATAGCTGGTTATTTGGCATATATCATCCAGGCAGTTTGGATCAGCTAAGGCAATTCTTTTTTAAAACTACTTTCCAACAAATTTTAGGAATATCTTCAGCCAGCTTCTAGAGCTAATTTAGAACATTTAAAGTGCAGACTTTCCTCTTTATGTCTAAATATTGTTATTCAGCAGTGCAGAATAAATGCACCTTTGATCTACTCCTAAATAGATTAAATCCCTTCTGGTCAGTGTTCATCTTATACTAGCAATGAGCCAGGAGATAGCAAAAACACAGTATAGTAACAAAGGAAGACAAGCTTTGTGAGAGCTGAGCTGGCAGGCAACATTTCTGTAAGAGAGCAGGTCCTATGCAAAAAAAAGGCAGCTTGACTTATGCTTTGCAGTGTTTCAGTTGTCAAATTTATGACAACAACTCACAAGTACAGTAGAAAATGTATGTAAAGAGGAAAGAAATATAAAACTGTCCAAAATTCTTAATACCTCATAGGAGGCTTCTTCCTGATTTATTTTTTAACATTATGTCTATTTACATGGTATGATTTTAGATAGGTATGAAGATGTGCATTATTTTAATGGCTTGACATAGGGTGCAATACATAGGAAGCAATGGATGCTGATATTCTAATAATAGCAATAAAAATCTGGCTTGATGAGAATTTTAAAACCATCATCCTGTGCACACTTACTTCCAGTGCTTTGGAGTAAATACTGTATGTATAGAATTCACGGCACTAATTCAAAACATTCAAAAGTGCGGACTTCCCTCTTTATGTTTAAGGTGCGGTGGGCAATGTTTAGGCCCTGCAGATGTTTGTGAGACCTCAACTCCCAGCATTCCTCATCAATGGCTATGGTGGCTAGGGCTGATGGAATCCATATTTCACCAACCATTTGTGGCAGTGGTGATGGGGAGGCATGCTTTGCAATATGCTGTAAAGTGTCTAGGGTGGGCGGGGTAAAAGTCTAATAACTAACTAACTAACTAACTAACTAACTAACTAACTAACTAACTAACTAACTAACTAACTAGCTAGCTAGCTAGCTAACTAACTAACTAACTAACTAACTAACTAACTAACTAACTAACTAACTAACTAACTAACTAACTAACTAACTAACTAACTAACTAACTAACTAACTAACTAACTAACTAACTAACTAACTAACTAACTAACTAACTAACTAACTAACTAACTAACTAACTAACTAACTAACTAACTAACTAACTAACTAACTAACTAACTAACTAACTAACTAACTAACTAACTAACTAACTAACTAACTAACTAACTAACTAACTAACTAACTAACTAACTAACTAACTAACTAACTAACTAACTAACTAACTAACTAACTAACTAACTAACTAACTAACTAACTAACTAACTAACTAACTAACTAACTAACTAACTAACTAACTAACTAACTAACTAACTAACTAACTAACTAACTAACTAACTAACTAACTAACTAACTAACTAGCTAGCTAGCTATAGATAGATAGATAGATAGATAGATAGATAGATAGATAGATAGATAGATAGATAGATAGATAGATAGATAGATAGATAGATAGATAGATGGATGGATGGATGGATGGATGGATGGATGGATGGATGGATGGATGGATGGATGGATAAATAAATAAATAAATAAATAAATAAATAAATAAATAAAGGTGCCACCAAGGCAGCTTAGAGACAGAGCAGATTTCTGGTCTAATAGAGACTGCTCTACAATGGCAGTGCTACAAGAGGACTTTCAGTCCTAGCTAATAATGCCCCCACACAGTGGTAAATAAAAGTTGATGCTTCTTTGATTCTCATCTGGGAAACCCGCCTATAAGGGTGAACTTAATTGACATTTACTAGAAAGTTCCATCTTGAATATGTAGACTCACCAGTCTACTTCCCAGAATCTATCCCTAATCAAAATCTCACTAAAATCAATAATCATGTACCTAGTCTTGTGAAATAAATCAATACATATATATATATATACCGTTAAAGTCTAATAATGTTATTAATTTGTTGGTCTTTGATGAAAGCATTTAGAAATTTAATCAGAACTTTGAAAGTTGTTTCTTAAAAGTAATATGTTGAAGTAATGACACAAAACAATGCTTGTCAAAATGTCTCTGAAAAGTAACATCTGAATATTAATTAGAAAATATTACTCATTTTAGCAATAGAATTATGTTGATCCTTCTCACATTAGTTTTGAGTGGAACTTTGTTGCACTCATCTTTTTCCCATAATAAGCAGTTACTGTTAACAATATTACTTGTAACTTGTTACTGGCTTTCATAGCTGGCTTTATCCATCCAGTGAAGTGGACTGTCCATAGACATTTTGCTGTTTTGCTAGATGGGAGTAACATAGCTACTCCTCTGGAAATGAAACCATACTTTTAATATTTCCCCCCATTAAACATGGATTCATAGTTAAACAACAGATAGGGTGATGAAAGCTAAGTTTGGGAAAGAAAGCTATAAATACTGTGTTTATACTTGTAAGTGCTGTAGTTGGGCCAAAGAAGAAATTCACTATTACCCCACATCTCAGTTACTAGAATCATCATGCTCATTTTCTGATTTTTCATATGTTTGAGGAATTTTCCCTATGTTCCACTTGGACCAGTTGCAACATTAAGAATAGTCTCCTACCTTAAAAATAACAGAAAAAGCCTTGTACTGTAGCTCCGATTCTAGCTACCAGTTCCTGATTTCCCCCACTTCAGTTCTGAATGTGTATATTATTTTGATTGGTGTTGCTGTTTATTTCAAAATGCTGTAAACAGCACTTCTGCCTGAAAACTCCCAACAGTGAAGGAAAAAGAAAAGAAAAAGCTAACATATCTCAAGGAAAAACTCCAAACCAGTCCACAGCCGATTTTAGCAGCATTAAGCCCTGTTTAGTACTGGAAATGTAACAAAAATAGTTGTTTTCTAGGGAATCCGATAAAGCCAAGAAAAAGAAACGCAACAGTCAACCCCCCTAACTCAAATCCTCTTTTGTGACTGTGTAATTATTGCCTTCCCTGAAAGACTCTTGGTGCTTTCTACAAGAATGTTGTGTTTGGACAGGAGGGAAAAGGTAGTGGCAGAGAAAAGAGCTTTTTTTTCCTGTGAGATTTTAAGAAAACATAGCACAAGGCAAGGATGGCCTTTGATAAGCATGCTGATCTTCCTGGCAATAAATAGTGATGGGTGCTGGTGGTCTGTTTAGACATCTTAAACACATCATGCATTTGGAACGCTGCAAAACTGACTGTGTTTTGAAAGTGTGTATTACAGCATCGGTTTATGAACCACCATAATCTTTTCCATTATTTCAGATTTTTAAATGAGACATTTCTAACAGAGGATATATTTCTGTCACCCTACTTTCGTTCCTATCGATTTTATTTCAATTAATAAATGCCCCTTTAATCTGTCTGCATAATAATCTCAAACTCACAAATAAGAATCCCTCCTTCATTTTGTTACTGCAGATAGTAGTGAAAGACTACACAAACACACACAAGTAAAATGAACTTGTGCACAAGGATTTAACACACAAACACTCTGCCACAGTGAGAAAGATTTGATATCACTTTAAAATGATTTAAAGCAACATCCCTGTCTTGATTTCCTTTGAATGGAGAAAGGCAGCAGTGAAATAAATAAGGCTAGCAGCCAATTAAAATGTTTAGTTGATTAATCATGTTGACTGAAATGAAATAAAACTGCACATTGTCAGAACATCAGTGTAGGTGCCTTCCAAAGCCAAGAGAACCTCAGAACCAAAACGAGGCCTATATTTGCACACTCCCCAGTAAACATTTGGCTTTTTCAATCGGAATTTGCTCCCAATAGTGGACAAAATGGAAATTTCATTGATTCATATAACCATATTATACTTATTAAGTCTACAAGACATTTGTTTATTTTCTTATTTACATGGAACTTTGCAGTTTGAGAAAAAAAATAAGGGAGGACAGATCCATGCTTGAACAGAAAAAAATAAGAAAAGACAGATCCAACAAGCTTTCAGTTTCAAGTTGTTCAGTTTCCAGAGAGCTGCCTTACATCTGTTGCAGCAATAATAATAATAATAATATATTTTTTTAAAAAATGAGAATTCTGTGGCACCTTTTAGATGAATAGATTTATTGAACCAAGGCTGTTGTGGATTGTAGCCATAAATCAGATAATGCACACGATTCTAAATTTGATAGTCTTTAGTGTGCCACAGCCTTATTTGAGGTGTACATTTGGGGTGAGCAAAATATGACCCTCCAGATGTTGTTGGACTGTAATTGTCCACATTCCTCATGGCTGACTATTCTTCTAGGGGTGGTGGGCTTATGTTGGACCCACATCTGGAGAGTTATGTTTTGCCTGCCTGTTTGACAGTGAGGAAAATGGCAGAAGGAGGGAAGAGACTCTCATTATGGAATGCCTGGCAAGGCCCACAGCACAGTAAACCCTCCCTCCCAATAATCCCTAGGACCTACTGACTTTATGCCACTTCTCATTGCTCTCAACAGACTTCTTCCCTTCCCATCCTGAAGCATACAAGCCGTGAAAGGAACGCTTCTTTAGGAATTGGTGCTCTCTGGGTCCCATATGAACGAGAAGCAAATGGAGAGTAGAAACAGAGGTGCAGGTCTGTTTGGGAGAAAGGCCCCCAGAAAGCATCTGGCCCAAATACCCCCCCCCCACTTCTGATTGACACAAAACTGCAGATCTAGCGCTGGGAAAGATGGAAGGAGGTGACCAAGGGGCAAAATTGAACAAATGCAATTCTAGCAATAATTAT